AAAACTCAAAATTGACAAACCCCATGCAAGTGTTCAGAGCTTCTAATCAGCTATTTATTTATTTATTTTATTGTTTATTTATTGGCAGTATAGCATTTGAACTTAGGGCTTTATGCTTGCTAGATAGGTGCTCTACTGCTTGAGCCATGCCTAACCAGCTCTTTTTGCTCTAGTTATTTTGGAAATAGGGTCTCACTTTTTGTCCAGGCTGGCCTGAACCACAATCCTCCTAATCTCAGTCTCCCAAGTAGCTTGGGATGATTGGAACACAACACCATGCCCAGCTGTTAGTTGAGATGGAATCTTGCTTTTTGCCCAAATTGGCCTTGAACCATGATCCTCCAACTCTCAGCTGATAGTGTGGCTCAAGTGGTAGAGTGCCTGCCTAGCAAGCATGAGTTCCGAGTTCAAACTCCAGTACCAAGAAAACAACAACAAAAACAAAATTATAAACCTGATGGCAGAAATGAGAAAACCTCAGCCTGGTGTGGTGGTACACACCTGCAATCCCAGCACTAGGAAGGCTAAGGCAGGAGGGTTGACAGTTCAAGGTCAACCTGAACTACCTAGCAAGACCCTGTACCCCAAAAGAGAGAAAGAGAACTTGGATGTAGCTCAGTGGTACAGTGCTTGTCTATCATGTGTAAGAACCTGGGTTTGATCTTCAGCAGAGAAAGAGAAAGAGAGAGAGAGAGAGAGAGAGAAAGGAAAAACTCAACTGAGAGATTAGAAGATAAAGTTGAAGAAATGTCCCAAAACCAGATCAAAAAGGCAGTAAATAGAAAATGGAGGGAAATGATATGAAAATTAGCAGGCCAGCTCAGAAAGGCCAATACTTGAATAATAAGACTTCAAGAAATGGAGGAGAGAGAGATGTGAGGGAAAGGGTCATCAAGAAAGTTTTTTCAAGAAAATACCCCCAAACTAAATTAGTTTCCAGGTTCAAAAGTCCACTGAAGGCCAGCACACTAATGAATTTAGACCCATAGGACAACATGAACTTCCAGAGCATGAAAAACAAAAAAAGAGACCAGTGGTAACCTACTTAGCAGATATCCTGTGAGCTTTTTTTCCAGAAAGAAAATAACTATATACAAAGAACTGAGAATCACAATGGTACTTCAAATCTCTCAATAGCAACATGTATAATAATGCACACAGAAGGTCATTTCCCTGGTCTGTAAAATGTGCAGTTTGGAATAGACCTATTGACAATTGACAGAACCCACATTGTTCCTGTCAAGACAGGAACACACAAAACAAGCAAGGCCAAGGTCAAAGTCTGACTAACTTGATCAGTAAAGCCACTTTTAGATGTAGACAGTTTATTACTTACACAGACAGTGAAAAGAAGCCTAAGAAGGGGCCAGTTCCCTTTGATCTTTGTTTCACACATCAAGAAAAAACAAAATGAGCTAAATGACTCTAACATGAGCTGTGGGACACCCTGCTGCTGATAAGTCACTTCTAGACTCCTGCTAAATAGTTTTATATTCTGCAGTCACATCAGGGAAAGAGGCAAGAAGTCCTACATCTCATTAGAACCCTGTTGCTGACTGGAAACATCCCATGACAGCCTCCCTGGGAGATTGCAAAATAAGTGGGAGATGGCCTCCTATCCTCCTATGTTCCAGAAGCATCACAAGGTGTTCTCTGAAGACTTAGATTACCTGCAAATCCTTCAAGTCCTTGCCTACCTGTAAGGTGGCAGGGGCAATATGGCAGGGCTATTCCCATATAGATCCTTGGTCTGTGGGATAAGGCTACCATTCTGCACAAGGCTATAAGGAAATCTCTAAAATCACTTCCCTAGCCCCAAGTAGGAAAACAAATCATAAACACAGTCATACCCCCAGGAGAAATGACAGAGATTAGTGCAACCCTTAAGGACCTGATGGGTTGATAAACTCTGTCATATTCCTATTTTTACCAGAATGGTGCATGCAAAGATCAGACAGATCGAGGAGGCTGGCAGTAGATTATTGCAAGGTCAACCAAATCATAGCCTCAGTTACTGATTCACAAGCCCTGGAAAACATAGTTATGTGGCCACTGATCTGGCAAATGCTTCTTTTCTATTACTATAAAGAAAGAGGGTCAGTAGCAATAGTATACATTTGCAGTGCTACTCCAAGGCTTTGACCTAAATAAAAATGCTCTATCAAGACAAAGGAACCAAAGTAAGGAAAAAGTACATGAAAAGGCCTCATGGACAAATGGAAAGATAAGATTCCCTACTCTAGCAAAGAGACAACAAATGGGATTTGTTTTCAGATTTCTGTCAATCAGTTCATATATTTGTACCATATCTAATTGAGGGAACTAAAGCTTTCAAAACTACCAAAATGAGGGCTGACAGAATGGCTCAAGTGGTAGAGCACCTGCCTGGCAAGTATGAAGCCCTGAGTTCAAACTCCAAACCAAAATGAAGCAATTTTACAGACTCTATCTGTGTTGGAATCCCATGAGCATAATGGAATACATTTTTAATGGAATGTATTATTATTTTTTTTTGGTGGTACTAGAGTTTTAATTTAGGGCCTCACACTTGCTAGGCAGGCACTGTACAACTTGAAACACTCTACCAGCCCTATTTTCTTTTACATATTTTTGAGATAGGGTCTTGCCAACTATTTGCCTGATCTGGCTTTGAACTGCAATCCTCCTAATCTCTGCCTCCTAAATAGCTAGGATTACAGGTGTAAGCCACTGGCATCCAGCTTATTATTGGAATGTATTATTGATTACAAATATTCAATGTCACTTCCTAAGAAAAGAGTAAATTCTTCTGCCCTGTGGAATAAGGAGTGCCCACATGACTTATTTTGTTCAAATAGGAGCAAAATGTGAAATGTGGCCAGCATGTATCAGTATGTAACAACTAGTGCTGGAGATGTAGCTCAAGTGGTACAGCACCTGCCTAGCAAGTGCAAACTCCTGAATTCAAACCCCAATACCACCAAAACAAATTTAACACCTAAACATCTATCAACTTCAGTCCCAGTGCACTATTATGAATGGGAATCATCTTGAGGGCACAGTGGCTCACACCTGTAATCCTAACTATTTAGGAGGCTGAGATCTGGAGGATCACGGTTTGAGACCACCCTGGGCAAACAGTTTGAGATCCTCATCTCCAAAAATAACCAGAGCAATAAGAAAAGGCAGTGTGTTGGAGTGATGTGGCCATGAATTAAACAACACTAATAACTGGTAGATGTTAAAAGAGGCAAAGAATAAATTCTCCCCTAGAACATCCAGACAGAATCAGTCCTGCCAACACTTTGACTTGAGGCTAGTAAGACTGATTTGGACTTTTGACCTCCAAAACTATAAATTTATGATGTTTTGAGCCACTATTTTTTTAACAGCAGCAATAGGAAATGCAGGAGTTACATGCATTACCTAAAGGCCTACACAGTAACTAGAAATAAGCTGCAAATGGTGGATGATAGTCAAAGGTGGAATGCTTTCTTGTTTTCTTAAAATATGCAATGAAACTATTTCTCATTATTCAACTGTAAGGTTTTGGTGATACCCAACGTTTAGAATTGTTTCATATTACTGTTTAAAGTTCTGCAGATACACAAGTGCGCAATTGTTTCATATTACTGTTAAAGGTCATGAATACACGAGTGGGAAATTCTTCATAATCCTCTACTACATAAATTAATTTTAATAATGCCCCTGATGTAATTACATCTTATTGTCTTTATAAAATAAACTCCCATAATTGCAAAAAAACCAAAAATAACCAGAGGAAGTATAGCTCAAGCAGTAGAGAGCCTGCTTTGCAAGAGTGAAGCTCTGAATTCAAACCCCAGTCCCTTCACCCCCCAAAAGGGGATAGGTATCATTACTAATTATTTTATTGCCAATACCTGATATAATTCTTAGCATAAAGTTGATGTTTATAATCATTGATCAATTAAATGGGGAACAAAATTTCAACCCACCTGCAATTAGATATTAAGCAGCACTAAGGCAGACACCATGTTTTTCCTCTCAGTACTGTATCCCAAGACCTGAATGAAGGTGCCACCAAAGATCTTTCCTTTGCACTGGGGTCTACCTGAATTCCATATATGACTGTGCCACTTTGTGCCAGGCTAAGACACTACAATGACAGTTAAAAACTTTTTTATCCTTTTTTGGCAGTCAAACTCAGGGCCTCCTGCTTGCTAGCAGGTGCTCTACCACTTATACCCACTCTGCCAGCCCTTTTTACCTTGGTTATTTTTGAGACAGGGTCCAGGTTTAGGCCATAGCCAGCCTGGATGGTGATCCTCCTACCCTGTGTAGCTGGGATTACAGGCTTGAGCCACCACGCTCAGTTAAGACAGCTGAAAAGTGATGGAATGCAAGTCTAGCGTAATTCTTCAAATTAGATTCGATGTCAATAATACTTAATGACTTTTTTTAAGAAAAAGCGTAACTTGAGAGATTCTTCCATTGACAAGCAGCACTATGCACTGCCTCTAGCAACGCAACAAGTCGAGGCAATCAGTGCAAATGTATGGGTTTTGTTACCATTGTGTCCCCATTTTACTTATCACTTAAGTACCCACACCCCATCCTGCCTTGGCAAGCCAACTGCCTGTAACCCAGCACTCTGTGTCCCAAAGATTTAACCAGAGGCCTCCTCTGCCTCAGAAGCACATCTCCCGCACCCCATCCTCATCCAAGTGAATGCGGCAATGTTTAAAAGAGGAAAAAACGAGGCCTGAGCTTGGGTAGGTGTTGATGACTACTGTGCGGTTAAAGCTGGGAGGAGCTGGAAGGACTGGAACGCGAACAATGCAGAGGTGACCATTGGGATCAAACCCAAGAAGAACGAATGAAGCTGGACCACCTGAGCAGCCCAACAGAGCACCGTAGGACGGGCTCGATCAGAGAAATCCCGCGATACTATATTCAATTCTCCGAGATTTAACTTTTTCAAGGGCGGGGCGAGGGGAGGAGCAGGCAACTGCGAGCCGCCGTTCGCTCTCAGCGCTCCGGGATCTCGAGAGAGTCGCGGCTCTCGCGATCTTTCGGAAGCCAACATTCCACGCGGAGCACGGGCGCCTGTGCAGAGACTAGAGGGTCGGGAGGGCGAAGGCTAAGCGGGAGGTTGCAACCCCTTGGCTCGTTCTACCGAAAACCTGCGAGGGAGGGTGGTGGCCACTCACCAATTCAGTCCCGATGCCCAGCGCCAGCGCCGGCCGCAAGAGTCAGGAGAAGCCGCGGGAGATCATGGACGCGGCGGAAGTGGGTCTCCTTCCCCGGGACTGGGAGGGCCGATCCGCGCTGAGGGAGGGAGTGGACCCTGCTCTTCGGGTCTCTTGTCAGCACTTTTCAGGCCGCGGGTCTGGGTTACGGGCGTCGAGGGGGCTTCTGGGGCCACGGCCAGACCAACTCTGGACCGCTTTTCCCAGGTGACCTGGGAGTTCTGGCCTAAAAGAAGCGAGCCCCGGGGATCGGATGGCACCGAAGCTCTTGACTGCGGCGGGATCACACTAATCCTATCTGGGTTGGGCATGTACTGCACACCCCCTACTCCATCCAGAACTGTTTTGACAACCACTAGTAATCGATAGGTTGCCACGCTTGTGTTCCTAATGTTCTGGCAAGTAATGACGGTACTTAACAAAACCATCTGCCAATATGTTTAGTGATCTTTTTGCATGTGTTAAGCCACATTTGTCATTTTAATTTCCTTTCTCTGACTCAATGACCCAGTGAGTAGGTAAAAGTTTGCAGAGGATGAATTGAGATAAACACCCAGTGAACCTTCAATGCTTTTCAGAAATCAAAGTTTGAAACCTGCAGTAATAAGTAATACTGAGCCTTAATGTATGTCTGTTTTTCTGTTGAGGAATTCTGCATTTGTGGTAAGCTACACAAACCATCTCAGAATATTAAATGGAATAAGGGTTGATGTTCAAAAGTATTGGTAAACACGTAAAGGTCTTATTTTGGTATAGACAAAAAAAAAATCCACTGTTTTACGTATCTGAAAGAATTACAACAGGTAGCTGTAGAGTGACAAAGTAATTGTTTCATACAGATCTTAAGTTACCTTGTAAAAAACTGGAGAAATTATTTTTGTGCATTGATAGCCCAGTTTACCTTTGCAAATAGCATAGGTCTAGCTGTAAGATAAACACTGGCAGTTACATTGTTTTATAGCTAGGAGCTTAAAAGATCATTTAGAGGTAAGGTAAGCCTCTTACCTTTTTGGTGAGTATTGTTTGTTAATAGCCTCGACCCTAGGTCTCCAATTTCTTGCTCCTAACTTTAGATCTATAATAGAAATTTGATAGTACTACATTGTCACTGTCTTCCCCTTGTAACCTGTTACCCTGAAGCTGGTTTTTTAGAAACAGGAAGCTGGTGGATTTTTTGGTGATGTTTTACAGAAAGAAAGTTGTAGTTAGCTTATATCCAGCATCTCCAATTTCTGAAGACTGGACATCTGGTGTTCAGAAAGCTTACCCAAAGATACATTTCTCTTTGAACATCTCTTCCTGTAATAGGAAGTTAATATAAAACTGTGGTACTTCATCCTACTCCCTTCCCAGAGGAAATTTATACCCTTGCTTTGAAGTAGTTTAATCTTTTTGAGGAAGTTAGTTAAGATGTGTTGTACATGTACATAAATTTCTGAGAGCACTATTATGTATGGTATATCCATCCAGAATTGATCTGCAAAACAGCTACCAGTGCTTTACTTTTTTTTCTATAAATAACATGTAAGTGCTAAATTTTCGTACTTTGAAACTTCTGACTGAGTTAATGACATGATCCTGAAAGTTGTTCATTTTTTGTCTAGTTATTTGTTTGAGTAAAAAGTCATAATGCAAAAACTTTTTTTCTAGGATTATGCTAAAGAGAGATATGGAGTATCTTCAATGATACAATCACAAGAAAAACCAGGTTAGTGATTACGTGATTATAAAAGCACTTTTTTTTTCTTTATAATTCACATTTTCATTTGACAGTGCTGGGGATCTAACCCAGGGCCTTGGGGATGCTAAACAAGTGCTCAACCACTGAGATATATCCCCAGCCCTTCCTGAAGTTTTAAGTAGGGGGACTAAGGCATAACTTTGAAAAGCTTAAATGACATTCATAACCCAAGTAGATACCATCATCCTATGTAAACATTGTCAGTGTAAGGTTTCTAATCTGGAAAAGAAAGAAAATATTTAAATGAGTATTAAAGGTTGAGTAGTGTTCTTTTTTAATCTCTAGATTACTAGGTAGGATTTAACTCTGGTTTAGAGATAAAAGAGGGCTAGGAACTGCATCACATGCAGCCTTTTTGCATGCTTTCATGAAGCTGCCTCTTACAATTTTTCCTCTTAAACTTACTTCTGTTTTTGGCTATTATTAATTAAGCTTCTATTCTGTTTGACTCTTTCCAAATATTTTCTCGTTTCATTCTCACAACATCCTTAAAAATCCAAGTTGGAAGATAAAAGAAACTTGCCTCATGCAGCCAGAATCTGCCGGGCCTGGGATTAGAACCAAGGCCATCTGACCCTGGTGCCCGTGGGTCTTTCCATTCTCTGAGTTCCTCTGACACTGCTGTAATTTGAGTTTTAACACCCCTGCATAGATCCTAATACTTTGCTTTAAATAGTTTCTTTTCCTCTGTGCTTCCATTGGTCCAGATTCCTTCACTCTAATGCCATAACTCTTGTGGGACAGGTAGCAGTTTTTCAAACTGAAACCCTACTACTGGTGATCATTGCCTCACTAATGAAGTATGACTTGTGATGCCTCAAGTATGTTGGGATATATTAAAGGTTGAAGACCTCTATGCTAATTAAAAAGGATGCCATAAGATAGATAGGTCATTACCCTTTCTCTTTTCCAAAATACTATTAAAACTATCCTAATCATCACATATATTTATACACACTCTTTTAGACTCATGCTGTTTTGTTTTTTTGAGTTTTCACTGCATCATTAGAACAGTTTGACTTTTCTTTTTTTTCAGTTTGACTTTTCAGTCTTAGCATTTTTAAATCTGCCTTTTAAAATCTTATGCTATTTTGTCTTTTCCCTGAGTTTACACAGCAGACTTGAAAGTTGGCTTGACTCATGACGTCTGTGAGCATATCTTACAGAAATTCTCTTATGCCCCATAGGTTTGAAATTCCTCTTTCATTCTCTGCTTTTGGTCATGAGAATCATAAATGTTTTCATATAGATCAAATCTCTTCACTGCTGTGTCTTCACTTTAAGAGAGAAGATTATTAATGTATTCAGAAAAAATCGGTAAAATACATTTATAATTTCATTTTATTATAATATTCCAAAAGGTATCATTTTTGGTATTATAATGTCTATTTTTGCTATTTTTACTTAATGCCTCGAATTTTTCCCAAATCAAATTAGTACATACTTAGAACAATAAAAATGATTTCTGAATGCTGTCTCTACATAATAGCTGTTTTGTTGCCAGTTTTTTTTTGGGGGGGAGGTTATTTGGGTTTTTTTTGTTTGTTTGTTTGTTTTTGGTGGTACTTACTAGGTTTAAACTCAAGGCTTCGGGCTTGCAAAGCACACACTCTTTGTTACCATTTTTGTATTGATAGGTATCTTACTTAGTATTAGGGGGCATAATAGTTGGGCCTCACGTGTAAACCAAAAGGCTCACATAACTATAGGAAACAAAGAATGAGATTACCATCAAGCATGATTGGATTTAGGGACTCACTCATAGTTGCAGCTTTCATTACCCATTGTCACTGCTTCCTTTCAGATGTTGGCTTCATTCTCTCCTAAAAACACATGCTAGTAAAAAGGTGGTGATTATAGCCCCAGCTCTACACCATCTCAGCTCAGAAAATACATTTCAAGAGCTTTTTCCTGGCATGTGTATATTAGTTCCAGAAAAGAACTTTGATTAGCCCAGTTTCTTCCCTGGATCAGTCACTGTCCTGGGGAATGAGCTACCATGGCTATGGTAGAAAATCTGCCCTGTAGTTATCCCACTTATATTCTATGGCAGACAGGCAAAATGCCATTTTTTACTTAGGCATAGGCAGGTGAGGAGAGGCTGTATTGGCCTTTTAAGTCATTGAAGTGTTCAACAGGTTTGCATTTTGAAAAAGTCTCTTTGACTACAATGTAGGCTGAATTAAAAGGGAACCAATTAGGAAGGTATTACTATTTAGGCAGGAGATAATAGTAGCATGATCTAGGATGGTAGCCATGAAGATGGTAGAGAATTATATTTAGAAAGTATAGTCCACAAAACTTGAGACACATTGCATATTGAAGGTTGTAGAGAAGAAAGTATTATCAAAGACTGAGAATTATTTAAAATGATGCCAAGTTTTTAGGTTAGCTGTCAGACAGAAATAGTTATCTTTTTGTAAATTCTGAATTAAAAAATTGTTTTACCATGTGTTGCAGATCGAGTTTTGGTCCGGGTTAGAGACTTGACAATACAAAAGGCTGATGAAGTTGTTTGGGTGCGTGCAAGAGTTCATACAAGCAGAGCTAAAGGTAAAATTAATTTAATGATTATGGCCTTTTTGATAATGATACTGAATTTTTTGTCTTATAAATTGGTTACAGACCAAAATAAATCTCTAAAATCAAAACAAAAACATGTAACTCTTCTTCCTTAAATCACTGTAAAGTATCAGTCCATGATTGATCAGTTTTAGGTTCCCGTAGACATCCTTAAAAAGAATTTGACCCTAAAGATTTCAATGAAATCTAAGTCTTCAGTGTCTTTTCTAGCATCTCTCAGAAGTCTGATTATTTAAGTGTTTTTGAAATGCTTCTCATTCGTTAATACTCATATCTTTATTTAGATGGGGAGAGAAGTCGAAGGGAGGTAAGGCTAAGAATGCTGTCCAGTAAGGTAGCCACTGGCCACAGGTAGCTATTTAAATTAAAATTCAGTAACTCAGTCACACTAGCTATATTTTGAGTGCTTAATAACCCTGGCTTCCCTTTTGCACAGATAGCACAGATATATCTAGGACAGATATGTAGAATATTTTCATCATTAAGTTCTTTAGGATAGTGCTAAGAATTTAACATTCACAACAGCAGAAACATTAGGGTAGTTTAAACAAACCCCACTTTCTTATGAAGTATTGGCCTGGCCTAGTGTTCACCATTGTCTAGAAGTATTAGTGACATTCATATTAGTTTTTAACTTTATACTTTATACTTTCCACATGCTTTTCATATTTAATCATCCCTACAGATATGTGATATAAATATAACAGGCATTGCTATTCTACTTTATAAATGAGAAAATAAATTCAAAATGATAAAGCTACTTCCCAAAGTCTCATAGTAATTGACAGAATGTGAACAGGATCCAGAAGCTTTCTACTATACCTCTCTCTTTAGCAGTGTTCTCTGCTTCTGTAGTATTTAATGCACCCCATGTTATAGCATTTCTTAATTTTTAAGAAATATTTTTATTACAGAATTAGTCTATTCCCATTATTTAAAAAATTCTGGCATTTTTATGCGTACCTTCACTCAGGATTATTACTATTAGGAGTTTATCTATACTTCCAATATCCTACCCCTAAATAAATGAATATTCATGAACTTTAAGAAGAGTACTGGTATAGTTTTAAAATTTCGAATAATGTCAATTTGCCTTAGTGAAAGTTTGGGCCATTTATTCTACCAACAGATAGTTACATTATAATTTTTCATTTTCTTGTCTGTATCCCATTAGACTGAGAGCCTTTGTTCTGCCTAAATTGGGCATTTTGTTTCCTAAAGGTAGTTACTTAGCAAATGAAAAGATAGAAGTGGTGCACACTTGTAATCCCAGCACTTGGGAGGCTCAGGCAAGAAGAGTGCAAGCCTAGGCTACATAGTGAGACTCTGTCTCAAAAACAGAAAGATACTGTAATAAAAGTTTGAGATTATATTTAAAAATAAGTTGTTTTAAACTAAACCTAATACTTTTTTCTTTTAAAAAATGGATTCATAATATGTATCAGTGTTTTATGTAGTTTTGTATCATCGCTTACAAAATTTTTAATTTGTATAATAGAAACATTTGTTATTTTGGATTGCAAAGGTAGTAATAGTTCATTTTGAAATAAATAGTATGGAATTAAATCAGAAATAAAAGTAGAAAGTCTTTTTCAGATTTGTTTTCATGAGGTAAAGTAGAGAGAGAGTATGGATGTGTTTGAGTCAAAAGTTTTATAACACTTAGTTTTATAACTGGCACTTTCTTTTTCATTTTATCTTGGACATCTTTCCCTGTCCTGCTTCATTGTTTTTGGGTTTGTTTGTTTGTTTGGCATTATTGGGATTTGAACTTTTCATCTCGAGTCATTCCTCCCCCACCCCCTCAGCCTTTTTATATTTTAGCTGTTTTTCAAGTAGGATCCCATGTTATTGCCTTGGGCCACACTTAGACCACCATATTTCCTGTACCATCTTCCCCATGTCTGCCTAAATCAAACCAAACCTTGCAGGCTTCTGCCTCATTGGATTTTTTTTTTTTTTCTCATTTGTAAAAGGTTTAGATTTACCCATTGAGGTTTTAATTTGCATTTTACTCATTGATTACATTAGACTTCATGGTATATTACCTATTTGAAATTTCTTTTGTATATATTTTTAGCTTGTTCATATTTTTTATACAAGAACAAATATTTTTATGTAAGTCTTGTATGTGATTTCATTTTTTGAGGGGAGAAAACTGCCTGCTATAGAATTTCATATTGCATGTGTTCTTGTACAAGTTGTTATCTATTGAAAGTTTCTCACATTGTTAAATATTCCATTGTATGGCTATATATGGCAAATCTGTTTATCCAGACACATATTGATGGACATTCCAATTGAACATTTCCCATTTTTGGCTGTTCTGAATAAAGCTGCTGTTAACATTCATGTGAAAATCTTTATCTACACCATGCTTTTTATTTCTCTTGGACAGAATTGCAGTCATAGAGTAGGTACATGTTTAACTTACTTAAAAAAAAAAACAAAAACTGCCACACTTGTCCAAAGAAGTTTTATCACACTGTGATTTTAAGATGCCATCTTTGCCTAAAGGGAACTAAAGCTACTATGAGAAGTAGCAGATTTTAGGTTTGGGGCAGGAATTATACAGGAAGAGTTTGGAAGATCTATCATAATAAGTAGCATAGAAGACAGAAAAGACTGAGTCATAGGAAAGGGACTCAGAGCTACCAGAGGCCAAAAATAGAACATTTTGAGTATCAGCAAGGATCACTTTGTAGAATGAAACATATTAGATACGTTTAAATATGTACGTTTATAATAATGCTGAGACATGCAAACAAAAAACCTACTTGTTCACTGATGGAACAAATTTATTATTTTAAAAGTTAGTAAATAAAAAAATTATGTGTGTATGAGTTGTATATTACTAGCTATATATGACACGTGGAATGAAGTATCATTCAGAATAGTCCAGTGAAAAAGACGACAAAAGAGTTAAGAATATTCCCATTTTTATCCCTAGTATATGATCTCTAGGCATTGGTCATTAGTGATTTCTAACATTGCAAAAGTGATGCAGCCAGAAATATTTAATGTCTACTCATGGAAGAACACATTACCTATGAAGCAGTCTTGCCCAAAAAATTTTACACAATTTCAATAAGCCTTTAGGTCTAATTATCCGCACAGGAAAAACACAGGGCAAAGAAACATGTTAAAGGGTGATGGAATGCAATTAGTGAAACTTACTCTATAAGAAACAGCAAAACCAACCTGTTTTCTTCAGTAAATAAGTCGAAAGGGGAGGGAGAGCCTGTGATTATAAACAGACTTTAAGATGCCTCTGAAACAGTGAGGTGGTTCACACACCTGTAATCTTAACTACTCAGGAGGCAGAGATCAGGAGGATTGCAGTTTGAAGCCAGCCCAAGCAAATAGTTTGAGAAACCCTATCTTGAAAGTATCCAATACACACACCAAAAAAAAGGACTGGTACGATGGCCCAAGTGGAAGAGCACCTGCCTAGCAAGTGTAAAGCACTGAGTTCAAACCCCGGTACCCCCAGAAAAAAGAAAAAAAAAAAAGAACTCTCAGTAATCACTAATTTAGGTCCTAATTTAAATACTCAGTTAAAAAAATGTAAGACCTGAAACTTTGGCACTACTATAGGAAAAACTCTGGAAGATAAAGGCCTAGGTGTAATTATTTTCTGAATAGAATATCAGTGGCCCAAGAAACATGAGCAAGAATGGACAAATGGGACTGCATCAAATTAAAAGGTTTCTGTACATCAAAAAAAAAATAGTTACAGCTGGGTGCTGGTGGCTATTCAGGAGGCAGAGATCAGGAAGAGCAAGGTTCAAAGCCAGCCCAAGCAAATAGTTCATAAAACCCTATCTCAAAAAAACCCACCACAAAAAAAAAAAAAGGACTGGCGGAGTCAGTAGGCCCTGAGTTAAAACCCCAGTACTGCAAAAAAGAAAAAGAAACAATTACTTGAATCAAGAGACAACCCACAGAATAGCAGAAAATCTTTGCCAGCTATTCAACAGATAAAGGATTAGTACTCAGAATATACAAAGAGCTTAAAAAACTAAACAGCAAAAGAATCCACTTAGTAAATGGGCAAATGAATTGGACAGTTCTCAGAAGAAATTCAAATAGCTAATAAATATATAAAGAAATATTCAACTTCCTTAGCCGTGAAGGAAACGTAAATCAAAGCTATACTAAGATTCCATCTCATTCCAGTCAGATTGACTATCATCAAGAAAACAACAGCAGGCAGGTGGAGTGGTTCAAGCAGTAAGAGTGCCTGCCTAACAAGCATGAGACCCTGAGTTCAAACCCCAGTACTACTAGGGGGGGAAAAAATGCTGATGGGGGGAGTAGGGAACCCTCATACACTGCTGGTGGAAAAGTAAACTAGTGTAGCCAATATAGAACTCAGTATGGAGTTTCCTCAAAAGACTTAAAATAGACATACCTTCCTGATCCTGCCATACAACTCTTGGGTGTAGCTGAAGGAGTATAAATCAACATGCAGGAAAGATACCTGCATACCCATGTTTATTGTAGCTCAGTTCCCAGTAGCTAAACTGTGGATCAGCCGAGGTGCCCAACAACCAACAAAAAATACGGTGTATGTATGTATACCATAGAATATTACTCAGCCATAAAGAAAAATGAAATTATGTCATTTGCTGGAAAATGGATGGAAGTGAAATCATCATGTTGAGTGAGATAAGCTAAGCTAAAAAAGCCAAATATTTCATGTTCTCACTCATTTGTGGAATCTAGACCTAAAATGATGATGATGATGATGGGATATGAATGTGAAAGGGGGTTGGACTGAGGGGGAATCAAATCACTTATTTTGAGCCTGATTTAAATATACAGAAAGGAAAGGACACTGAGAGGGGAAAGAGGATTGAAGTGCACTACATGTATATGTTCAAACACAGCACAATGAAACCAAACACCAGAAGAGGAGGGAATGGGAATATAATGGAGGAACTGAACTTGTTCAAAGTACCTTGTGC